TAATGAATGTTTTAAATCCCTGACCTTTCCGTGGCCAATTGCAAACGCAAATCATATTTTGAGTTATGAGGGTCCGTCAACATGAATATAAAAAACATCCATTCATTATTTAAAAACTAAAATAAACTGTTTTAAGTGTTATATTGATATGCATTTAATTTTTCAAGCGGACAACCTGTATATCCATGTACAGATGTGCGATGCCTCTCCCGACGATGACAAAAGTGAAACGGTACATTTGTTGATTAGTGGGTAAGTAGAATTGGTCATCAGCAGTTTTAAGTTTCAACTGTTTTTCGAAATCTTTATATGTATTTTCAATACAAATTATTTTTAAAGCTGTCGCGTCAAGATAACAGTATTTCATTATATTATTGTTTTGATTAGATGTCTACGTCTGTTGTAGAATATTTGTGATGTTCTTATTCCTTCCACTGGATTTGTTTTTTCAATTTAAGTCAATTCTCAATCAATATGTATCCTACAATCAATAATACAAGATGCAGGATAATTTCTTACGGCGGTTGAGTTTGCTGTCATATCCTCATCTTTGCACATGTTTTTTTCAAGATAATACCTCGTTGAACAAATTCTATTAAAATGTATGGTTGTTGATTTTGATATCTTTACCCTTACAGAATAATTATCTACGCTAAAATAGCACATGTTTTGGATGATGATTTAGACTTTGTTCAAATGTCATTAATACACTTAACATTTACAAAAGATATATGAAGTGATATACTTTTATAATTAAGACAATTTTCGAAAAAAATCCACATAACCGTGTTCTTTCAAAACATACATTTTACTATACTGTTCATATTGAAAATGAATATGATATTACACAACTAACGTAGTTCGTTCTTTGCCAATACAGGAAAACCGACAGTACTAACAATGTTTTGACGACTTTTGATGAAACGAAGGTGAAGACTGCATCAGCTACTATGACTGGTTTCAGATTTATTGGTAAAGAGCATGTAGTCATTACCTGTACAGTTGATGTTACATCTCCGGAAACAACAATTGCACCTTCCACTACTTCGTCGGCAAGTATACTTCAAGCGAAAAATACCCAGTTTCCAACAAAACATGATAACAATATTAACCTATACATAAATACTCATGTGGATAATATTGTTAGAAACTAAAGAATGTACTGCTTGCTAATGTTGTTCTTTCAAATGCTATTATTAGTTTTATTTTATTTTCGTCTTAATGTTTTTCTGTTACGCCTTTTCACATATTTAATGTGCGTTTTCCTTATTCTGACAGTCAATACGCAGACGACGAAATGCATTTCAACAAAAACACACAAAAACCCTTGATGTATCGACTTCTTTACGCGTCGAAAGTTTATCAACAAATGGGGTGCAGGGTAAGTATAAACAAGTTTGTCGTCTTTGACGCTATGAATTAAACTTTTCTATGAAATCATCTGTCCGAGTGTGGTTTTGTATCAGTTGTCGCACCAGGCATTTTCAAGTTGTTTCGCAATTCACTTTTCTTTCTAGGTGATAAGGTGATTGTCCGGAGATACTTTTTGTTGCTACATCTATGCATGTAAATACCTGCTCTGGGAAGGGTTAAACAAGAAAACTCCCGAAGACTTCTGATTGATTGCTGTACTTTCAAAATAAATTCATCCTCCTGAATAGCTGTATAGTAGCGAAAGGCTCCAAGAATTGGTCTTCTTGTGATTTATAAAGGTTGTTATCATTTTTCTGTCATACGAACTTCAATTCCATATTGTATAATAATAATAATAATAATATACAACATGTATATAGCGCCCT